CATTAACTTTCTAAATTCTAACTTTGTCTCTCTCTCTCTCCTTTTACTCTACGAGTCTTGTTTCTCATATCATCCTCTTCTCCTCTCTTTCTTACTCCTTGTCAACACAACACCAATTGATTAGTTTTAATCGAATCTCAGAACATAGAATATCGATTAAAGTTGGTTGATTTATTATTGTTGTTGAATTGAAAGATCGGAGCAAAGTTGGTTGATTTCTATTAGTGAATTGTAATCTATTGTTTATAATCTATTAGTGAGTAATATTAGTGAATTGTAATTTTTTTTTCTTCTAATTTTATTGATTATAATCTATTGTTTCTGTATAAGTTGTGCGAATTGTGAAGCAGATAGAGTTGATGATTGGATGATCTTGGCAGCACGAAGACATGTTGAGGAAGTTCATCTTGATATTAATATGAAAATATCAAAAGTATTTCCTAACTTGATATTTAATTCAGATATTCAAGTATTCAAGTTACGGACTTCTTGGTAAAAACCAAAATGCAACTCCCCAAAACATATTCGTAGTCTACATATATGTGCTAGCTGAGATGATATAGCGATTCTTCCGACCCCCTTAAATCCTATTCCATCTTTTAGAGTTTTACTTACGAATTAAAAATGATTACTTCAGTGTTTAGCCAAAGTTTGTCTGTTTCTGGAAATGGCTAGTAATTCACAACCGCCCCCAGGGCAGGTACGTTATACCGTTTTCTTTTTCTTCGACATGAAGTTTTGAACATGTCTTAAGCTGTTAACATTATAACAGTTTATAACATACCTTTCTGTTTTTCTGTGAAGACACTGTGGCCTCCTATAGGTGGATCATCTGGCCCTCCTCAAAATTTTGGCCCTTCGGTTCCTATGCAGGTAAAGTGCTACACACAGTTGGATTTTCTTGGATAATGGTTCCTTTTTTTGGGTTTTCCATATCCGAAAGCTTGCTGATTTTGAATATGACGTCTGTTACAGTTCCAACCTGTTTTTCCACAACAACAAGCACATCCTAAATAAATTTTTTTTACTAAGGTTTTGTCCTTTCCATTCTGAAACAGTGTGTTCCCTCTCTGGTTTGTACTACTTCTATTTCCCTTTTATTTTTATTTTTTTGCAATATTGATCGAAACTGAAACTTTATTCAAGCTATATATATATAATTTTCAATTTTGTAATGTTTAAAATAATTAAGTTGAATTAATCTACTCATAATTAATTTGTGATTTTGCTATATTTTTTAAAAACTATATTCATAATAGTATGTTTTTTTCTGATATAATTTGTTTGAACTTTTAAGTGATAAACTGATCATATTTATGCTATTGAATGGCATGTACGTGAAGGCAGTATGATTGATGGCAGCCACATTCAAGATAATGAGAGTAAGTTTCGTGTGAAGTTCGATGTCATTTAAAAGTTCTAGTTCAATGAAGAAGGACAGAAGTAACAGGTAGCAACAACAGCAATGAAGTAAAGGGTTCAACTAGCACTAGCAGTAGTTTTCATCGGTAGCACCAATAACACATTGGCATGCTGTGGTGTTTGTATTATGTTTGTTACTTGGCTTTTTGCTTTGTATCTGTTGCTTAGGATTAGGATATGTACCCGTTGATTATGTTTGTAACACTTTGAGATGTTTAATAAATTTTTCATTTATCAAAAGCATTTATTTTCATCGCCTGCTCTAATACATAAGGTTAACGGTTAGATAACAACGTCGACACCTCTGTTTATCTTTGGTATTCAAACAACATAAGAAACTTTCAACTTCTACTTTTGTGTCCGATCAAGCAATAAGAAAACTCTTTTGGTAAGGTAATAATGCAATGAAAAACCAATCAAAATGAACAGGTCGAGATAATATACTAATGACAACAAGCTCATGCAGTATGGCATCAATGATTCAAGGACCTTGGTGGATTTGAACCACCATCTCTTGAGATGCATAGAAGACGTACTCCCATTCTCAAGTGCTCTACCCTTTTGAGCTAAAGATCCAACGTACAAAAAGCAATGGCAAGCCATATGCAACATCTAATTAATTGATCGAGCATGTTAAGGGGTGTCACTAAAAAGATGTATACTGTGTAACAATCAACTGACGAAAGAAGTTACTTCAATATTGAATTCATAAAACATCAAATTAAACAAAGCAATTCGGAGGCAGCATTGACTTATATATAGCAGTCATTTTCTAGACATATATCAGAAATGAAAAAGAGATAAATAAAAGAATATATTTTTAATTTTAATTGTTTTTTTTTGGGTAATTGATATATGCAAAGATACGAATCCACACGTAGTACATAATACATGATCAAATTTCTTTTGCAGCATCGTACTGTACCAACAAAATCTAGTAACAAAAAGGCTCAAGACCACACTTCTCCCATTGC